TACTGTTAAGAGGGGTACATGCTAATTTTATTTTGAAAGACTCCTTGAGGATTATCCCAAATTTACAATACTGTATACCTTGCTTAGAATTTAGAAGGGTGCTTCGAATTTCATTATTCCCTTGATAGTGTGTGCGTGGCTTATTAGATTATATAGGTAAGTGGCTCGCCTGTGCTTTCACTATTCACATGTGTCCATGATACAGCAGAGGTTATGGTTAGAATTAAAGACATTTCTTACAGTAACTCTCAGATCCGGTTAGCCACAATAGAGGTGAAAAGTTTGTACATTATGATTCTTAATTTTTGGAGGAAATGGCCATTGTTGGGATTTGTTGGAAGGAGAGAACTATTGTGGCACTCTGACAAAATTTGGATTTTGAGTCCTTCAATTCACTTTCAGCATGAGCTTGATCTGAAGATGGATGTTACATGAAACTAGTCATGTGTAGAATTTAGGTTGCTTTTTAAAATCTGTCCATTCAAACGGCACCTAAAACATGCTCAGTATGCTCCTTGAGGTGATATTTGAAGTGCCACTTTTAATCTCCAACAGGGCATCTCAATTGGATGCCCAATGTGTGATAATTTAAAAGTTTTAAAATCTCACAGAAATAGATTATTTGCAGTGTAGCCTGGAGATAGTGCACAAAGCTTGAAATTAAATAAAAAGCTTGCAAGTAAAATTCTGGCCTTTTTTATGCTTATTCTGTGAACATGAGAGTCAGGAGTTGTGATGATTTACAACTCCTGAATTGTCATTCTTTTTTTCCTGCTCATGAGGTATCCACAAATGTAACCACTAAGCCAGAGGGTAACACACAACTAGTGGAGTCTAGTTTCAATACTAGCACTTCGCATATCTGCTGTTAAAGTGTCATGTCTGTTCAAAAAGGTTTCTCCCCCCCCCCCCTTGCCAACCACACTGACATGTATGTTGAAGCATGCTGCCAGACACTCCCAGGTTTTCAGGCACAGCTCCATTAATGTATTGTCCTGTATCCTTAAGTCAAAGTGGACTTTTTCTGTGCTGACTCAATTTTATATTTTAGCATCATATGTCAGAGCAGGAACAACTCATTAACCTAAGTAATTTCCTTCATTCTAAGTAACAAGCACAAGCAATTTCCTGCATGCTAAGTAATACGCAATATGTTTAATCCCCTCAGTGCCATGGTGTGCTACTCACATTTCTTTACAATGTGCTGGCCATATCTCAGGCAGTCAAAGCATTAAACCAATAAAATAAAGTGGTTTCATTTTAAATTTTAATATTTTATACAAAATATACAGAGGTGTG